CTGTGACAAATGAACAGGAATTATTTTACAGCCTTTGCTCTTTTCTTGAGATTGAGTTGTATTTATATAATTTCCTTTCCATATTAAAATTTATTCCTTAAAATAACTATATTCTGTTCAGCTATAAAATAATGCCCTAAGAGACAGCCTATTACTGTCATAAGTTATGTCTAAGCTTTAGGGTTCTACATGTGTAGATAGTTCACTTAGAAAAGAGCGTGGAGTAGGAGTACCAGTATTTTGATTTTTGCCTACCTAACTATGTTTTCATCTCTACTGAAATGTTGTTTTCTGATTATATCTTAAAATGAATTGGTCTATAGTTTCTGGAAATAGCTTTGTCAGTATCCGTGTTATATAATTTAATATAGCATCTTTTAAAAGTCTGAAGTGGAAAAGATTTGGTGTTTGTTTTCTCAATCTTAGTTTATGTACTTAAACTGTGGTTTTTTTCTCCCTAGACTAAACCCAAACCAGAAGAAGAAGTGAAACCCGTGAAAGAACCAGATATCAAACCTCAAAAGGACACTGGGTGCTACATCTCCTAAAATACTCCTGAAATACAGTTTGCACTTAGAATTTCTCTAACAGGAGATAAGATAAACCACAGAATTTCAGTTCTTATTTCTCAAAATGATTTCTCTGAAGCTTGTAGAATAACTATTACATTCAGAGGGTTATCTGCCTTCAGCTTACTTGTTCTTGATTTTTAATACAGTGGAGATGTTTCTTGCTTTGTTTTCAGCCTCTCCTTTTTAATCAGGACAACATTTGAAAGATTTTATTGTGCCTCTAAAGGGTATATTTGGGGGTTGGGTCTTTTTATTAAACTCTGGATAGTAATAAGTTTCAGGTCAATATAGGCCCAAATCATGTGGTTTCAGGTATGTTTTTTTCTTTTTTTTTTTTGTTTTTTTGAGGCAGAGTCTCCCTCTGTTGCCCAGGCTGGAGTGCAGGGGCACGATCTTGGCTCACTGCAACCCTCCACCTCCTGGATTCAAGTGATTCTTCTGCCTCAGCCTCCCTAGCAGCTGGGATTACAGGCACGTACCACCACACCCAGATAATTTTTGTATTTTTAGTAGAGACGTGATTTCACCATGTTGTCCAGGCTAGTCTCGAACTCCTGACCTCAGCTGATCTGCCCGCCTTGGCCTCCCAAAGTGCTGGGGTTACAGGCGTGAGCCACTGCGCCTGGCCTCAGATATGTTTTTCTATCTACACACAAAAAAATTTATTTTCCTTCCTCTTGATATCAGAATAATGACAGGAATCAGTTTTTAACAGAGATAGTTTTTCCATTTCTCCATTGTGTTAATCAGAGCACAGACTTACATCCTCAGTCATTTATCTTTTCTGGTGGGGGATAAAAAGTCACTTAAAGATGAGAAAATTATCACACCAAATCCTTTACGTATGTTAGAATCAATAATTTACTAAAAAATCAGTTTTTATAGGTATGTTGGGACCTTATCCAAGAACTTATCCCTGTTCCAGTAGCCCTGTGCTTCATTCAGTATCAGTAACCCTGCAATGATTTTTACAAATATCTTTTCTAGTGGGTTTTTTACTTAGAGGACAGAACTTTGTGATAGCTCTTAATGTTTATATATAAGAGAAGACAGAATGGAAAATGTTTTTTGAAGTCAAATATTGCATGATGTAAAGAAAAAACTTTAAACTTAAATGAGTAGGTTGTCCTGAATTACACTGGTAACTCTACTTCTTTATTAAAGAAGTTATAGTAAGATGCCTTTGTTACCTGATTTCAGTGTACATTGTTTTTATGTGGTTTTCTGATAATGTCCTGTCAGAATTGTATTGGTTTAGGCCAAAGGCCATAGCAAAAACAGAGAACAAATATAGATACAATATGATCTTAAAAATAGATTGTAACATTTTAAACAATTAGTTTAGTAATTTGGGAAATAGTGGATGCATAATACTTTAACAGAAGTCACACATCTGTAGGTTTATCTTTTGATTATTCTCCTGGGTCATTAGATAATTTTTCTATTATAAGTGACAGATTGATTCACTTAATATAAATAATACAAGTAGCATACACTAAAAGCTTACTGTGTGCCAGATACTGTGCTGGACACTTACATAGATAAGCTATTGAATCCACAAAGCAGCCCTGTGAGAAATAAATAAAATCTGCATAAAGTGTTGAAATAGGAATACGCATTGCATTATGAAAAATGAGTAATTATGCCAATCTGAATCAATATAGCATTCAAATAAGTGATTACTTAAATCATATATCATAGTTTACACTCCTTAAAAAAAGGTACATAAATTCAGTGAGGTTTTTTTCTTAACATATAGAAATACTAAATACTGCTTGCAACATAGTATTAATATTTGAAGCTGTAGTTTCTGGATTAAGTGGAGTAATAACTAAACAGGCATTTAATTTTATTTCAGTATCTATGGAAAAAATACTTCATTACATCTCACTCTATTTTATGTTGTCTTTATTACAGAATCACTTGTCTGTTTGTTGTGTGCCACTTACTGACAAAACTTGAAACAGTACTTGATGCCAGCTCTTTACTCTCTGGCTGTGGGACCTATTTCTCTTAGGTACTTGTGCTTATTAATCTACTTACTAAATTTTCACATTGACAATTTTGGGAATGATACTACCATATCTGAAATGGAAAATGTAATATGCTTAGTACTTCTGTAAAATACAGCAATACTAGTATTACTTTACATCAGTAGGCATCTTTGACGTGAGCAGATAAATATTTTGTTGACTCAGCAAAGGTAACACTTTGTGACTAAAATATCCCATTATATATAATGTTTTTTGAAATGTTTGAAATTTTGGGAAATTATCACATATCTAGAAGTTGCATGAAGGTTATAGAGAGATGTAACTATTTGTTAACTATTACATGGATTTCATACTTGGCAGTGACAACTAACGTTACTTCAGCTAAAAGTGTATAATGGGTTATCTTTTTATTTATGAAAATAAAAGTAATTTTACTTACAATTTCATTGAGATCTTTCATTTTCGACAAATATTTTTATACTTACTAAGCCAGTAACAGTTAAAACAGTGCAAAATTATTCTTCACAGTAATGTTCTAAAATGACAGATAACTAGGCATGGTGACTCACGCCTGTAATGCCAGCACTTCAGGAGGCTGGGGCAGGAGGATTGCTTGAGCCCAGGAGTTGAGACCAGCCTGGACAACGTGGTGAAACCCTGTCTCTGCAAAAAATAAAAAATACGCTGAGTGTGGTGGCATGTACAGTGAACTATAGTCATGCCACTGCACTCCAGCCTGGGCGACAGAGTGAGGCCCTGCCTCAAAAAAAATAAAATGACAGATATATTTACATCAATTGTTTTATGCTTCATGGGTTCGTTAAATATTCAACACTCCTTGACTTGTTCAGTTTCTACTTATGTTTATTGGTACCTATCACTTCTTAACCTCAAAGGATTTTGATTGGCCTGTTTATGTCTCATGCTTAGTAAAATCCAACATGATGCAGTATTTGTACTATGGTATGCTAAGCTAAAGAGTTTATCATTGTACAATAATCTGTAGAAAACTTTATTCCTTGCAAACTTGAGGCAGCACTTTTAGCGTTGTATAAATGCATGCAGAAATAAAACCATATGCAGAATTCTTTTAGAATTAGAGTAATCATGCTTTAGAAAATACTGCCTTTCTTATCTCTTAATGTGTGTAAAATAAACTTGGAATGTCACTTTGGGTTACCATAAGTTTGTATCTAAAGATTTTATTTGACATTTAAATAATTTGTTTAAAATTTAAATTTTTATTTTAGACTGTTGTAATAATAAAGGGATCAAAATAGTTAATCTGGAAGGGGAGTTGACAAATTATAAAACAGAAAACTATATTTGTGCATATTCAAAAAGCCAGAGCTATCATTTCAGCAATTTAATGTATATAATGCCTGTGATTTTCTTGACGTTGGTAGAAGCTTATATAGTCACTTTCAGAGCACTCCCCTGAGATGTCAGACTTGAATTTGCTTCTCTAACGCAGAGCTTCTCAAGTGGTTTGTCTCGAGGCCTTCTGGGTGGCTAGCTGGGCAGCACTTAAGGTGGCTGGAGCTCCCAGGCTGGTCACCTCCAGAATTCCAAACAATTTTCTCTATCTGCCATGATGTAAAAAATGTTGGGAAACACTACAATGGGACAGGCATGCAGGCAGTGGGGTGCATGTGTGTGGTTTAATACTGAAAATAAGGATACAAAAATCCTGCCAGGTGATGCTCTGTAATTCTCAAGGAACAGCAGTGATTTCTTATTTCACATGTTTCCTCACTCTGCCCTTGCCCCTGACACACACACTGCAAGTCACTGATTGGAGCAGGCCAGTTCCCTCAGGCGAAGGGGCCTAGAGAAATGTCAGTGAATACTGTGCTGTGAAACGGCATCTGAGGCGCACAGTGGGGCTTTGGCTCTCCTCTCACCAGGGGTTTGACCTTTCAACCACCTCAGGAAGAAGGAAAGGTGGAAGCAGGAAGGGGGACCGGCAGCTCTGGGCAAGCAACGCTCATTAGCTCCAGCGTAATGACGCAACGTCAAGTTCTCAGCTGAATGTTAACATAGTCCATTTGAAAACATTTTCTAGATCAATGAAAATGGCCAAGAACTCTAGAAAAATGTTTAAGTGTTATATACTTAAAATAGTATATTTACTTATTGAAACTAAATGCCAAGATGTAGAACTAGTGTGTTATTTTCTTGGTACAGATTACAATGCTGTGTTTCAGTGAAGGAGCTAATTAAAATGAAATGATTCGTAGATAGATGTAATCAGAAAAATCTTAAATGAAAGATAGTCATTTCTAAAGCAGGAAAGAAAGACAGTTACAAGTCTGCTCTTATTTTTCCAATCTGTTATATACTTCCTCCCACCCATTAACATTAGCTACATGTATGATTCATTTGTTAAACAAATACTGAGTTCCAGCTATGTGTAAGGCATTGTAGGGGCAGAAGATACAGCAGTGAACATAACAGGTAACACCCTCCCCTTCTGCCAAGGAGCGGGACAGGGAGGAGAGGGAAGACAGAGACACGTGGAATATGAAGTGTTCAGCGTTGGTAAGTGCTAAGGAGAAAAAAATGAAGCAGGAGGTAAGATGCAGAAGGTGGTGGTGAAGGCAATGGGAGGTTGCCTTGAAAGCGGAACTCAGCATAGTCTCCATTTGAGTTAAAGACTGGAAATGAGCAAGGAAACAGTCTAAGGAAAGAAAGACTAATGGAGCAGCCAGCACAGAGCTCTCTGCAGAGAGAGAAGGCGGACCTGTGTGGTCAAGGAATTGCAGTAAGAAGGCCCGTGTGGTTCGAGTGATGTCAGTGGAGGGAGAGTAGTACAAGATGGCATCAGAAAACTCATAAGGGTTAGATATACAGCCTTTTAGGCCATTGTGAGGACTTTGGCTTTCATTCTAGGTGAGAGGGGAACCCACTAGAGAGTTTTAAGCAAATAAATGACATGATCTCACTTAGGATTTAACAATTCTGGCTCCTTTTCGAGCATAGACTGGAGGGGGCCAATTAGGAGGCCGCTGCGATAACTAGGTGAGAGACGATAGCAAGGGTGAGAGATGATAGACCGGGGTGGTGGCAGTAGAGTAATGAAAAGTATGATTCCAGAAATATCCAAGAGAATTTCCTGGCAGATTTGATGTGAGGTGTGATTAAAGAAGAGCCAAGAATGACTTTATTGTAGTTGGCCTAATCAACTGGAAGTTGCCATTTATTGAGATGAGAAGGCTGCCAGAAGAGTAGAGGTAAATGTGTGAGTATGTGCATGTTGGGGGAATGGAGGGAGAGTTGCACTGACAGCGTGAGCAAAGATTTAGACATATTAGGATTGAGATGTCCATTAGATAACTAAGAAGAGATGTCAAGCAGGTAGTTGGATCTGTGAGATTCAGGGAAAAAGTCTGACCTGGAGAACATAAATGTTATAATCATCTGTGTGTGGATAGTATTGAAAACCATAGGGCCAAAGGAGATCATCAAGAAAGCAGATAGAAAAGAGAAGAAGTCCAATCATTGAGCCCTGGAGTAATACAATATTTAAAAGGTCAGAGAGATTATATGGCCTGTTAATTACATTACATACTTAGGAACTATCCTTCATAATCTATATTTGGGGTTTTTAAGAAACAAAATGTAGAAGTGCTCCCAAGAATTAAACTGAGCCGGCTGCGGTGGCTCATGCCTGTAATCCCAGCATTTTGGGAGGCTGAGTCAGGAGGATCGAGTCCAGAAGTTCAAGACCAGCCTGGGCAATATAGGAAGACTTCATCTCTACAAAAACTCCAAAAAAAAAAAAAAAAAGAAAAGAAAGGCTGGGCATGTGGCACATACCTGTGGGAGGTTGAGGTTGCACCACTGCACTCCAGCCTGGGCAAAAGCAAGACCGTGTCTCAAAAAAAAGAAAAAAAATTAAACTGAAGCCAAAAGAAGATCACTTACAAAACATCCACATCTAGGTGTGAAGCTAGCAGTTCTTCCAAGGTTTTTGTAAATAAGTTGAGTTCCAAACTGTTCACTATTGAGACCCCTCTGTGTGACATGCACTGATTACAAAGATGAATTTTGCATAGCATATTCTGGGGCATTTGCATAAAATGCCCATTAGGTGGCAGAAAAACATTCAGTAAACCAGCTGTGAGCTAGCTAGTGTTCACTCTTGTGCTCATTCACAGTCTCTCTCCACTCCCCTCCAACCTCCCAAAGAGCCCTCTGAACTTAAAGATGTGTATGGCTATTAATGCACAACACCTAATCATGAAGAACGAAGACTGGTATTTTCTTCAGAGAGCCAACAGATATCATCAGTCTGTAAGCTAATAGAGGCGAACCAGGTGTACAGGGGATGAGGGTGTATGTGTTTCATTTGGTCTGGAAATGTATGAATTTGGACAGTCTTAAGAGGAGTAAATTGACTATAATGAGACTCTTAGGCCTTATTTTTAAACGTTTGTTATTTAAGTTTTTTAGCTTGGGGCAGGGTGAAGAAGTGTTCAGAAAGTAAAAAGCAAGAAAGCCTCTTGGAAAAAAAATAGACAAGATGTCTTACAACTAGCCTGATGTTTAAGCTTTCTGTAATACACTGAATCCCTAAATCACAAGTCTCTTTCTGTTTCAGTTTCTTCTTTTCTCACTCTCTTTAGGGCACTGGTCCCCAAACTTGCCTGAACATTGGGATGACCTGACAGCTTCAAAAAATACTAGTGCCTAAGTTCCACCCACAGAGATTGTGATTTAAGTGGTCTGAGGTGTGGCCTGTCTTTGAAATTATTTAAAAGACCCCCAGATGATTCTCATAACAAAATAATTTTGAGAACCACTGGGCTTAGCTAATATTGGATGTGTAAATATTGACCTTCCCACAACTCAAACATGTTCCACCCTGTAAGACATGCAAGAGAACACTTCCACGTCAGCATATCCAAACGCACTGTATGGCCTCAGCCTACAGAACCCTTAACTCTTAACTTTATCATCTATTGAACAATTTATAACATCAAAATTTGTACTACTTTCAACATCACTAATTAATGAAAAATACAGAGGAATCATGTAAGTTACTTTTTGAAAATGTTTTATTTTCTTTTGTTTGTTGCAGAATGTGTTTTGTTTCTTATGGCACTGATAGTATTTATTTGTGCAATAGTATTATGCTTAACATATTGTTGATCTTACATACCAAATTAAAATGGGTATTTTTTGCTGCTCTTCAGCATCAGAAACTAAATGATAATACCTCTTCCTACTTCTTACTGCGGCTTTTCTGTGATACACCATCACTAAGTCAGGGGAAACCATGTGTACCATTCAGAGGTCCCCAGACAGGGCAGATATCACATCATCTTGCTGTGGATGACAGATGTAACCTTTGGCAGATCTTTTGCAACTCTGACTTTTGACAGAGGCATTAAACTCAGCATTGTAGCAATAAGATTTGGTGATTTATTTGTACATATATATAAGAGTATGCATGTATGAATATATATGTGTATGTATTCAATCATGTTTGCATTGCCCGTAAAATATTTTTAAAATTTGATCTGCTAGTCTTCATTTTAATGGATGGCTGACAATCCATTTGCATTTATTATGATTATTGACTTGGAATTAATGCTAATATTTTATTTAGTGTTTCTTTTAATCATGATTTTTCTTTACTGTTTCTTCCTTCTTGCCTTCTTTCAGAGTGTTTCTTTTCTTTTTTATTTTCTTCTGCTGGCTTTGAAGCTATACATTCTAATTCCATTATTTGTCTATTTACCTTTCAATTGTTAATATGCATACTTAACAACATATCTTATCCAGCCTATCCCAAAACAATACTTAGAAGTCAATTCACATTTTTTGTTATTATCTAATACCTAATACTGTTTTGTCTTTATACTGTCCCCACCAAAATAGCGTTTTTGGTTTTTGTTTTTTGTTTTGTTTTTGAGACGGAGTCTCGCTCTGTCACCCAGGCTAGCGTGCAGTGGCACCATCTCGGCTCACTGCAAGCTCCGCCTCCTGGGTTCAAGCGATTCTCCTGCCTCAGCCTCCCGAGTAGCTGGGACAGGCACCCGCCACCACGCCTGGCTAATTTTCTGTATTTTCAGTAGAGATGGGATTTCACCATGTTAGCCAGGATGGTCTCCATCTCCTGGCCTCGTGATCCACCTGCCTCGGCCTCCCAAAGTGCTGGGATTACAGGCATGAGCCACCACGCCTGGGTTTGTTATCCTGTTTACTAATTTTTTACTTATATTTATTGCATCTTACTTTTTTTTTTTTTTTTTTTTTTTTTTTTGAGACAGAGTCTTGCTCTGTCACCCAGGCTGGAGTGAAGTGGTGCAATCTCAACTCACTGCAACCTCCGCCTTCTGGGTTCAAGCGATCCTCCCACCTCAGACTCCTGATTATCTGGGACTACAGGCACATGCTCCCAAGTCCAGCTAATATTTTTGTGTTTTTTTTAGTACAGACGGTTTTTCACCATGTTGGCCAGGATGATATTGAACTCCTGGCCCAGCCTTGCCCTCCCAAAGTGCTGGGATGATAGGCATGAGCCACCATTGCCTGGGACATCTTACTTTTTCTTACCTCTGGGTTTAGTTTTCTTCTTCTTGACATAGAATTTCCTATTATTAATCTTTCAATAAAGATGCCAGAATGGTTAATGCTCAGTTTTTGTAGGTCTGAATATATCATTACGTTACTCCCACTTATTGTTTAGCTGGATATTGAACTCTTTTTTTTTTTTGAGATGGTATCTTCTCTGTCTCCCAGGCTAGAGTGCAATGGCACAATCGCTGCTCACTGCAACCTCACCTCACACTCCCAGACTCAAGCAAATCTCTCACCTCAGTCTCCCAAGCAGCTGGAACAACAGGCATGCACCACCTTGCTCAACTCTTTCTCTTTCTTCCCTCCCTCACTCCCCTCCCTCCCTTCCTTCCTTCCTTCCTTCCTTCCTTCCTTCCTTCCTTCCTCTCTCTCCTTCTCTCTCTCTCTCTCTGTCTGTCTCTCTCTCTCTCTCTCTCTCTTTCTTTCGTAGAGACAAGGTGTCACAATGTTGCCCAGACTGGTCTCAAACTCATGGCCTCAAGTGAGTCTCTTGCCTCAACCTCCGAAAGTGCTGGGATTATAAGTGTGAGCCACAGCACCCAGCCTGTATTCACTTCTGAAACTCCTATTAGACGTACTGAACTTTCTCATCTATTCTTTTTATCACCTAACGTTTCTTTCAGATTAAATATGTATCTCTTTTTCTCTCACCCCACACTCCAACATAAATTATACTATATTGTGAGAGCTTTTCTCAGATTTTTTCGTATGCTTAATCAATATCGAACTTACCACTATGTGACGATATTTTTTTTTCTGCAATTTTTTTCTGCAGTTTTTCTAACTTTTTTCAAGTCAACCTTCTTTTGGGATTTTATATTTTGCCTCTTTTATGTTTTTGAATATATTAGGTTGGTGCAAAAGTAATTGTGGTTTTTCCATGACTTTTAATGGCAAAAAATGGAATTCCTTTTGCACCAACCTAATATTAAGCACACTAATTTTAAAGCTTCTTGTTGTCCTATCATTCCTAATTCTCAGGTGAGGATTTCCAGTTTTCTCATCAGCTGAACCTTCCTCCAGATGCTTAGTTTCCTCATGTAGTTTGTAAGTTTTTACAGTAAGCACATCCTTAGCAGACATTTGCTGGGGGTTTTGTTTTGTTTTGTTTTTGTTTTTTGATACAGAGTCGCATTCTGTCTCTTAGGCTGGAATGCAATGGCATGATCTCAGCTCACTGCAACCTCCGCCTCCTGGGATCAAGCAATTCTAGTGCCTCAGCCTCCCAATTAGCTGGAATTATAGGCTACTGCCACCATGCCTGGCTAATTTTTTATTTTTTGTGGAGGTGGGGTTTCACCATGTTGGCCAGGCTGGTCTGGAACTCGTGACCTCATGCGATCCGCCCGCCTTGCCCTCCCAAAGTGCTGGGATTACAGGCGTGAGCCACCTTGCCCAGCCAGGAATTGTTTTTAGTGGAGATTAAGTATACCGTGTCTTGTTGAATTATTCCTCCAAGATGACTTTGTACTTGGCATCTGACAGAGTTCAGTGGATTACACTGCCTTTAGTTCACTCAGCTTTATCTTAGGTTTTCACAGCATGTGAGGACTATGAATTTGGGCCACACACCAGCATGTGGTACTGGCGGGGGTTTCCAATATTTTTAGGTGACTATTTCTACCCTTGTTGCTAGGAGATAGCAAATACTTTGCTACTTTTGCAAGCCAGGGGATAGATTTTCCTGTCCATATTTTATAGATAAGATAGTATTTTATTATCCTAGTTTTATGCAGGTGGCTTCATTTCAGCTCTCCACACTCATGGGATCTGAGATTTGGACTCTCCTCTCTCTATGGGTATTAAAACTCCAGCCCCAAGGCCTATATCTGGTTCCAAACCCCCCAACAACCATCTTGGCTTCAGCTCATACTTATAGTTTTGTTCTTTCTCTTATTCTGACATCTAGACTGGCTGACTTGCTTTCAACCCCCTGCCCCTCTCTCTCTCATCTCTATCCCTAGGGCTATCTCTTTTTTCTACTTCCTTGGTGTACTTATGATTTAACGTTTTCATTTAATTTCATCCAGCATTTCTGCGTGTTTGGAATAGGAAGAATTATTCTACATCAGTTCAGCCATATTTGTTGATATAATCTTAAAATATCTTAAATATTAATTAAAACAATATGAGGCCAGGCGTAGTGGCTCACGTCTGTAATCCCAGCACTTTAGGAGGCCGAGGAGGGTGGATCACCTGAGGTCAGGAGTTTGAGATCAGCCTGGCCAACATGGTGAAACCCCGTCTCTACTAAATATACGAAAAATTAGCCAGGGGTGGTGGTGGGTGCCTGTAGTCCCACCTATTCAGGAGGCTGAGGCAGGAGAATCACTTGAACCTGGAAGGCAGAGGTTGCAGTGAGCCTAGACCGTGCCATTGCACTCCAGCCTGGGCAACAAGAGTGAAACTTTGTTTCAAAAAAAAAAAAAAGCAACAATACATGTGTACATATGCTTACAACACTGAAATACTGCCTGACATATACACTGCTAAGTAAATTATAGGTACTTAATAATAGCCAGCTTTTATTAACCAGTTACCATTTGCTAAGAATTGTTCTAACTTCTTTATTTATCTTTACTCATTTACTCTTCATAACAATTTTATAAGGTTGCACTGTATCATTTCATACTATTATTTTATAGATGAGAAAACCAAGACACTGGGATATTAAGTAATGGGATTTTAAATCCAGGAAGTCTGTCTCCAAAGCTTTCCAGCTTTATTAAGATATACCTTAAATACAATAAAATGAACTAATTTTAAGTGTAGAATTTGAATCATTTTGACACATTATACAGTCAAGTAACCAACATTATGATCATGATATCTATTAGAACATTTCCATCACCCCCAAAAGCTCCCTCTGTCACTTTATAGTTAATCTTAACCCCCTACCCACTCTCCCCTAGCAAACAGTGATCTGTTTTCTACTATAATTTTGCCTTTTCTAAATTTCTACATACATAGAATTATATACTATGCAGTGTCTGGCTTCTCTTGCTTAGCATAATACATTTGAGAGTCACTTACAGTGTTGCAAATATTCATTATTTATTACTTTTAATTGGTGAAGAGTATTCCATTAAATATATGGACCACATTTTGTTTATCCATCATCAGTTGATGGACATTGAGTTGACTCCAGTTTGGGGCGTTCACAAATAAAACTGCTACGAATATTTCCATACAAATCTTTAGGGAGACATATGTTTTCATTTCTCTTGGATAAATATCTAGATGTGAAATTACAAGATTTTATGTTTAACTTTTAACAGCCCAGGCATAGTGGCTCACATCTGTAATCTCAGCACTTTGGGAGGCCAAGATGGGAGGACCTTTTGAGCTCCGGAGTTCCAGACCAGCCTGGGTAACATAGTGAGACCCCACCTCTATAAAAGAATATTTTTTTTAATTAGCCAGGCTTGGTGGCACACACCTGTGGTCCCAGCTACTCAAAAGGTTGAGGCAGGAAGATCGCTTAAGCCCGGGAGGTCAACGCTGCAGTGAGCCATGATTGCACCACTGCACTCCAGCCTGGGCGACAGAGCAAGACTCTGTCTCTGCACCTCCCCCAAAAAAATGTAGGCCAGGCACGGTGGCTCATGCTTGTAATCCCAGCACTTTGGAAGGCCGAGATGGGTGGATTACTTGACATCAGGAGTTTGAGACCGCCTGACCAACATGGTGAAACCCTGTCTCTACTAAAAATACAAAAAATTATCCAGGTATGGTGGTGAGTGCCTGTAATCCCAGCTACTCGGGAGGCTGAGGCAGGAGAATCGCTTGAACTCAGGAGGCAGAGGTTGCAGTGAGCCGAGATCATGCCATTGCACTCCAGCCTGGGCAACAAGAACGAAAGTCTGCTTCAAAAAAACAAAAAAAAAGTAGCCATTATGGTGGGTATGTTATGATATCTCATTATGATTTTAATTTGCATTTCCCAAATGACTAATGACATTCATCGTCTGTATATCTTTATTAAATCTCTACTCAAATATTTTGCCCATATTTTAATTGAGTTATTTGCCTTTTACCTATTGAATTGTAATCGTTCTTTACATGTTCTGAAAATAAGTCCTTTACCAAATATATACTTTGCACATGTTTTCTCCTGTCTGTGTGAAGTCTGTACTCTTAACCATTTCCTACATTGCTTCTCAATATTTATTGAAATAATCAAGAAACTTCTGCAGGGCAGTGACCCCTTCCTTCCAGCAATTATGGGTTTTAACGTTAACAAAAGGTAAGAAAACCCTGTTGACACTTTTGTTTGAAGACTGAAAGTTCACATTTTCACTACTTATCAAATCTCTTCCATTTTGGTACAGAACAGAACAATCCTTTTTTGGATTTGAAGAGTTGATGAGGTCACAACTGTGATTACCTGTGAATTCTGTCTTTACTATCCATTGAAAATAACTAGATAACTCTCAGCTCTGGGTAACTTGCCCTAAGGTGCCCTGTTTTTAATTTTCTAGTTGTTTTGTTTCATTATGGAGATAGACGGTTTCCAGCAGTTAGACCTAGAGAAGAGTGTACCTTCCAAAAAGACGACTCCTAAAAGGATTATCCATTTTGTTGATGGAGACATCATGGAAGAATATAGCACAGAGGAGGAGGAGGAGGAAGAGGAAAAAGAGGAACAGAGCACAAATGCAACACTTGACCCTGTAAGCTTAGTATATCAATATTAGGGAACATGGTGAGGGAGGCGGTGAATGAACAAGAGATTGAGCCAGATAAGGTGTATAGAAAGAATAGCTTTAAGCTAAGTCCTTGGTCTCCTTTTTTGCTTTCTAGATCCATGCGTAGGCAACTTATAGTTTTAATCATCTTAGTCTCTTCATCTGTGACAGAGAAAATGGAACATATTACGTAGAGCATTTTGAAATCTCTACATTAAAACAAATCTGCAGTCACCATTCCTCTTATTAATTACTCTATCTCGATTTCTCCTTTTTTCAGTCTAAACTTTCCTGGGGACCCTACCTGCGATTTTGGGCAGGACGGATAGCAAGCACCTCATTTGCTAGTAAGTAGTGCTAAGGTTATGTTTTTTCTATCCTAAACAAATACATATATATCGATAGGCCCTCAGAGTTATGTGGGACTTCCAATTGTGTAAGCCACTCCATCGCGTCCTGAATAAGTGAGATCTGGGCTAAGCTTTCATTCCCAAAGGCACAGAACCTCGCATCCTCAGGCAGACCCTTCATCCTTTACCAACTCTCATCAGGAAATTCTTATCTCGGCCCAAATGTTATCTACTTCTAAAGTTCCTACTTATCTTTCTTAGAACCATACAAAACTGGTCTAGATGCATCTTTCATAGGACAAAGGTTCCCATATTTGAGGGCAATAATCAGTCCTCCCTGGGTTGACTCTTCACCTAAATATACTTCCAAGTTAAAAAACAATTATTGTTGTATGACACAGTTCTAAGCTTCTAACTTCCCTAAACATAACTGCTTTATTATAAACATGAACTTTATTGATCCCTTTTAGGGGCATAATGAATGGGCTAAGTGAATATTTATAACAACTAAAATACTAAATCTTATTTTGCTTGACTTTCACCAATTTTTTTAAGACATAGTTGACAACATCTAATTACTCATTTCCTTCTAACTTGCACATCTTGTGAATATGATAGGAAGGCAAACTACTTTAAGAGTCTGAGAAAATAGAAGCTGTATTAATAGCTCTTAGAAACTGATCTTCATTCATTCATTTAAAAAACATTAGTAACTGTCTACTATATGCTCAGCACTGTGCTGGACCCTGGGACACAAAGATGAATGACAGTCTCTGCTTTCAAGGGACTCGATATTCAGTGAATCGTATAGACCAGCAAACATGCTCACAATTATAATTTGTTGTCACAATTGCCAGGGTAGGAAGTGCATAGGGACTCTGACCTGGAAGACTCGGGCATGCTGACATATGGAGGAGGCACTTTAAGAGAGCTATGGAAGTGTGACTGGCTAAGGCTAGCTTGAGGACCATGAAAGTGACCAGGGAGTCTTTAGATTACAGTAAAAAGTAAAGATGGGGTGATTTAGGCAGATAGTATGAACCTTCAAGAAATAAGTGCTTTAACACAAGCGCAGAGGGTTAGTGATTTGGAAGTTACATTGAAAATCCCAGTGAATACTAACCCTACCCTGACCATAATATGTTAACAGAAAAAAAAATTGCTGTCTTCCAGAGAGCTCTCTACACTTAGGTTAAGGCAAAAGGGTTTGAAAAGATTTGTTTTAGAGGGAGGGAATCAGAGAAGATTAGGCTGGGTAAAAGAAGCAAAACTCAATATGGGATTGAGAGTATGGAGAAGCAGAGTGATTTGCATGTTGGGTTTTGATTTAAGATTGCAGGGATAGGATGCATGGTGAGCCTAGCTTCCTTGTAAGTTCCAAACAGAACTGCATTGGTAAAATGCTCCTGACTGGAGCTTCAAGATTGTAGTGGAGGCATAAAAATGCTAGCAGTCAGTGCTGTGGTCTCTCTACACAGATATTTTGTCTGAATGGAGTTAGAACCCAGATGACACTGGTAATTAACTTTTTCAATTTAAAATTCTAGTAGGTCATAAACAGGAAAGCTTCCTAAGATTTATTTTAATATTAAAAAAACCCTATCTTCTACACATGTACTAGACACTGCAGCAAATAAACAGGACAAAGAGATAGCATATTAATGAAAAGATAAGATATATTTTAAAATAGCATCATTTTGATGCCCTATATGAGCAATATCCCAAGAGGCAGAATGAGTCAGAGGAATCAGAAAGTCCTATAATTGGGGGCTAACAGAAGGCTGTCGAAAATCCTGTAATCATAAAGGAAAACTTTTCTAGGAGATATCTTTAGGAAACCACTCATTATTCATGCTACGCCTTTATCCCTGACTCTAACAATCCCAGTGCTGAGCCTGCAGGCCACCTTGCTACTGAAGGCAGACAAGGAAGGCCTTAAACGTCTTCTGAGAAGTCTGTCTGGATGCATGGAAGAATTACTGATGTGGGTCTTGGTAACACTGGATTGAGTTTGGGTTTAATTTGAAATATACTTGGAGAGGATGTTTAGCTGGTATGCATGGGGATAATGAGCAGTACCTGTTCTGATTGCTCAGGACCCATGCTATACCTGTTGTGAAAATATATTGAAAATCTCTCCTGATATATACATCTGGAAAAAAATAGTTTATATATGATCCCATATAAAGATAGAAGATTTGACAAATTTCCTTTGAATCCTAGAATCTTTGAGAGGCCAAGGCAATTGAAATGTTTTGTCGGCCTTGAAGTTAGGTATAGTAATAGGTCATTTGCAGAGTAGTTTAAACTCTGGGCATCTCAACTGATGCGAAGCTTTAGTTAGTAATTCAGTTTACGCAAGTGCTTGTTCTTTCTTTTAGCATGTGAATTCCTTGGTGGAAGATTTGCTGTCTTCTTCGGTCTTACCCAACCCAAATATCAGTATGTGTTAAATGAGTACTATAGGATACAAAACAAGGTATGTGACACTCTGATGGAGGCAAGGGGCCTGAGATGGGAATATTGATTGCTTCAACTTTAGGCCAGTATAGAAAAGTATTTTTCCCACCTGGTCATCATGCACTACAGTTTCACCAAGCTCCCATAGTCAGACTGACTTATTTTTCTTGTTCTCCTTGCCCCAGGATACTTCTTCATATTTGCCTCACTCCTGCGAAGTTAGGATGTCATGAGCTGTGTTGTAGAAGAAGGTAGTTGGGTGTGAAGCCTGAGATTGCTTAAAGTAGAAGCTTCTTACATGGGCATTATATACAAGAGGGGAAGTTCAGAGGTCTTTGTTTGTACAGTTAAACATTTCCTTATTTCTCTCCAAAACAGAAGAGTGACAACGAAAGTGAAGGGAATGGATCAAAGACCCAGGCAGCTGAGGTTCCTAATGAAAAGTGTCACTTGGAGGCTGGGGACCGAGATTATGGAACCATACAACAGGACACAGCAGAAGCCATTTCTCAGTGAAGCACCTCATCCAGGGAAGGTCTGGTGGCAGATCCTAGCTCATGATGGCAGCAAAGACTATAGTTTCCCTGGATCTCTGTTCCTTGGCCATTGATTACCATGGCAACAACACCAGAGGTAGCACTTCTGAGCCAGATCTGATCCTAATCTCCGTGTAACTTAGTCTCAAGCATCCAGGAATTACAAGCAATAATGAGAGTAATTTTTGACACTTTATCAGAATAATTTTTATATGCAAGCCACTCCACCTCAACTCCACCCCAGTGATACAAGTCCAATGAGTACTGACATTTGCATAGTAGCATAAATGCCTTAAGGAACTTTGGGACTGGGAGTTTTTGACTGAAATCCTCTGTCATGGGATGAGGGTACAGTAAAGAAGCTCTATTCCTCAGAAGAAAATTTGGGCACCACAAAGTCTAAATAAATCCCCTTTCAGGGTTTGACATAGGTGTGTACTTCCAACAGCCATCCTGGCTTAGTTGGGGATTGCTTTACAATAAGTAAACATTGCTAATAGCTCTGTTATAAGATCATTATCAAGATCTTTGAGAATCAGGTATATCCCTCCAAATTAAAACAATCAATAAATAATATGCGCTCTAGAAAAAATATTTTCAATGGATTATTTTCTTATTCATTTGTCAAGAAATTTTCAAAACCTGGAAAGATCAAACATGGAAATCATTGTTAGATAACACAGGGTGTGTCAGCCAAAGTAACTGTGATACATTAATAGTAAAAAACAAAAAGAAAAAAAGAAAAAAAACACAGGGCCTGCAGTAGTAAGATATGAGTTCCAGTTTCACTTCTCCCATTTACTAGTTGTGTTATTTGAGGTGTCCAGATTTCTGAGCTCCAGTCTCCTTTGTAAAATAGGGGTGACTTTACTTTGCTTGTTATTGTTATACAGAATTATGAGAAATAATAATTTATTGTTGTTTTAAGCTTTAGAGTGGTTTGTTATGCAGCCATATATAACTGAAATTGTAGCTGTAAAAGAAGAGGAAGTTGGAATTAATTTAATATGAAATCAAAGACAAAAGTAGTCCTGGAGCATAAGAGGTTGTTAGTTGAATATAGTAGGATAAGACAGATTATGCTGCACAGACACCTCCAAAATCTCAGTGTCCTAAAATAAAAAAGTTTATTTCTTTCTCTTGAGAAGTCCACTGTCAGTTTAGGTGGCTTCCCAGACAGGTGTTCTCCATGTGATAGCTCAGTGTTGCATGCTTCTTTGATCTTATGTTTCTTCCATACTGTGATGTGCTTTCGGGGTTGCTGGAAAAGGAACAGCATGGAGAGTTAAGCAGTGGCAATCAATATCTCCACTAAGAATGAATCATGTCACCTCTGTGTATGTTTCTTTCACCAAAGCAAGTCACATGACTATAATTAATTTTATGGGAGTCTGAGCCTCCTAAGATAGCTGAGAAAAGGAAACACTCTCTTCTAATGGCATAGGAGATAAATGGTAGGCTCAAGGGTTAATATGATATTGATTTAATCTCAGCTCTGCTGCCTCTTTGTAACCCAGTAGCCCTGTGCAAGTTACTCAACTTTTCAACATTCTCAGATATAAAACAGATTTGAGACAGGAAGCAGGAAGCAAATATAATTTGAACCATCTTTGTGCAACAAAAAAGAATTTTGGAGAAAGTACACTGAGTTACCAAATGGATGCCAAAGGGAGATTAGTCTCAATAGGATCTGAACAATGTGACAAGCAAGCACCCAACAGATACTCTCTGTCCCTCTCTCATCTTTCTCGCACATGAGGAAGATGCCCACTCTGTAGCTCTTCATAACTCTTCCGTTCAAGTGACTGATATACTAGTCTTTCGTCCCCATTTCAAAGTATAGTGGGAATAGAATCTGTTTTGCTCCTTTTTGTCAAGTATCACTCTCTAATTCAATCAACTGTGGCCAGGGAGATGGAGCCTTGTAGTAGCAACATGGTTATGGGACCTATTTCTGAGTAAGGATGGTTCTCAGGAAAAGGAAATTGAGGTGAGCTAGGTAGGTATCCCATGACTGTTTCATGTTAAAATTAAGGAAAAGCATGTAAAGCTGTGGCTCTAATTAGATGCTTGAATCATAGTATCAATTATTATTATTAATATTGATGAGGTTAATTCTATATGTCAACTTGATTGGGCCACAGGATGCCCAGATTAAACATTACTTCTGGGTGTATCTGTGAGGGTGTTTCTGGATGACATTAGTATTTGAATTGTTGGACTCAGTAAGTGGATTGCCTTCCCAATGCAGATGAGCATCACCCAATCCACTGAAGTCATGAATCAAACAAAAGGCCAAGGAAGGAGGAATTTGCCCCTTTTTTCTGCCTCACTGCTTGAGCTTGGATATCTCATCTCATTTCACCTTCTTCTGCCCCTGGACTGGGATTTACTACATTGGCTTCTCTGGTTCTTACACCTTTTAACTCAAACTGATTTATATCACTGGCTTTCCTGGGTCTCCAGTTGGTGAATGGCAGATTGCGGGACTTCTCAACCACCATAATCGTAATGCATTCAATTCCTCATAATAAATCTCATTGTATCTATCTATCCAATTATTTGTCTATCTACCTATCTACCTATGTCTCTATAAATCTATCCTATTGGTTCTGTTTCACTGGAGAACCCTGACTAATACAACATTGAATGAGAATCCTGGTTTCATGGATTCTGAATGACTTGTCCCCACTGAAGAGTCAGTCTTAGTTCTTCATCTGACGTGTTCCGTTAGTCCAGTGTCAAGGCGAAGTAAATCTGAAGGTTTTATCGTATTGCAGAAGAAGTGACCAAGTCTAGCAGTCAAGCATTTGTTACTTGAGTTAAGGGTCCGGTCATACTAACGATCTATGCCTGTTTACTTACTATTTTGCTTCAGAATCGCCCTAGGAATGGACTGTTTTTGACTTTTCCACTTTCCTTTTTGTTTTTTTTTTTTGAGACAGAGTCTTGCTCTGTCACCCAGGCTGGAGTGCAGTGGCGCAATCTCGGCTCACTGCAAGCCCTGCCTCCCAGGTTCAAGCCATTCTCCTGTCTCAGCCTCCCAAGTAGCTGGGACTACAGGCACCAGCCACCACGCCCAGCTAATTTTTTGTATTTTTAGTAGAGATGGGGTTCCACCATGTTAGCCAGGATGGTCTCTATCTCCTGACCTCGTGATCCACGCGCCTCAGCCTCCCAAAGTGCTGGGATTACAGGTGTGAACCACCGCACCTGGCTGACTTTTCCACTTTTCTGAAGAATTATCCACTTCTTGAATATCCACTTATTGATGATTCTAAGGAACCAGGTGGGCTTTTCCCTTTCAGACACCCCTCTCTCTCATGAGAGAAAGAGGGCTGCTCTCCTTTCTCTTTCTTTTGCCCATTAAACTTCTGCTCCTAAACTCAAAAAAAAAAAAAAAAAAAAGAACTAGGCAAAACAAAGTGTGATATTTGAACTGAAGAAGTGGATTTTTATCTAGCAAATGTTATACTCTCAATTTAATTTTCTTTTTCACTACAAGAAAAGATTCTCTTATGGTCAGTGACCATATGCAAATCAGTTGAATCTTGAGCAAAATATAATAAAGAGGACAAATGGAACCAAACAACCAGATCTTATCAGACTGTTCCTGCAGGATAAGTCCACAGTTTCTTTAATATTAAAATTAATTCATTATTTAATATTAATTGGACATCTACTGTGTGCCAGTTTTTTCTTTTTGTTTTTTTAAGGTACTATCAACCAAACAGACAAAAATCTCTACTTTCCTGTTGGTCCTTAATTCCCAACAGATAAATTATTAGGACATTCAGTCTTTGTATGGCCAGCCTCTCAGATGGTCCTCAACGATCTCCACTTCCTGCTATTCATACCTCGTGTAGTTCCTTCTCACACTGCACCAGGGTGATTTATGTAACCAAAATAATATGGCAGAATTAATGATATGCCACTCCAGAGATTGTTCTAAAAGATACTATGGCTTCTGTCTTGATCTTTCTCACTACTTTTCTCTTGGATCATTCATTCCGGAGGAAGCCATCTGCCATGTTATGAGGACACTCAGCCAGTGCAGCAGACTGAATATGTTCCCCCACAAATTCATATGTTGAAACCCTAATCCCAGTGTGATGATTTTGGGGGTGGGGCCTTTGGGAGGTAATTAGGTCATGGGAGTGCAGCTCTCATAAATGAGATTAGCACCCTCATAAGAAAGGCCAGAGAGCTAACTGGCTGTCTTTCAGCATGTGAGAATACGAGAAGTCAGCAGTCTGCAACCCAGAAGTGTGCCCTCACCAGAACCTGACGATGCTGACGTCCTCATCTCAGACTTCCAGTCTCCAGAGCCATGAGAAATAAATTTCTGTTGTTTACAAACTACCTAGTCTACAGTATTCTATTATGACATCCTGAACTGAACTGATTAAGACTTGGAGAGTTCATTGTGCTAAGGAACAACTGGTGCTAAGGATCTCCAGTGAACAACCTTTGAGGAACTCGAGGACTGCCTACAACCACATGAGCGTGCTTGGAAGACCGCCTTCCTCCAGTCTGCAGAGGATTGCAGCTCCAGCCAACAGCTTGCTTGCAACCTCATGAGAGATGCTGAGCCAGAACCTCCCAGCTAAGCCACTCCTGGATTCCTGGCTCATAGAGAATATTAGATAAATGTTTATTGTTTTAAGCTACTAAATTTTATGGTAATTTCTTATAGTGCAATGGATAACTACTGCATTTTTTATTCCTAAATATTCCTAAGGACTTTTAAGGATAAACTCATCCAAGAACTATAATACACCCAGAAGGAGTGCAGGGATTTTACCTTACTCCCTCAAGGCTAGATGAAACTCACTGAGCTGTATCAGATATGCTTCCTGCCTTACTGCGCTGTGTGGGGGGCTAACTAGGCAACCATTACCTGTAAGTTGAATCTGGCTGTTTTATTTACCATCACTGCCAATTCCCATATTTGCCACCTGCTGATTCACCCAAAGGGGTTTTCAATATACCAGGAAAAACACTTCTCTGAAATATTAGTCATGAACATCCCAAAGCAAAAAGTTTAGGTTCCCAGAAAGTACAGCTTTTTAGCGATAAAATATTTTACTCAGAGAACCATACCATTTTCACCAAAGCACAATCATAAGGTCAAGCTGACTCAGTAGGAAGGTGTATTAGTTCATTCTCGCACTGCTATTAAGAAATACCTGAGACTGGGGTAATTTATAAATAAAAGAGGTTTAATTGGCTCATGGTTCCACAGGCTGTACAGAAAGCATGGCAGCGTCTGCTTGGCGTCAATCATGGTGGAAGGCAAAGGGAAAACTGGCCCTTCGTATGGCCAGAGCGTGAGGAAGAGACAGGGGGAAGGTGCCACACACTTTTAAACAACCAGATCCCATAAGAACTCTGTCATGAAGATAGCACTAAGGGAATGGTGCTAAACCACCAGAAACTTCCTCCATGATCCAATCACCTCCCACCAGGCCACATCTCCAACGTTGGGGATTACAACTGAACATGAGA